CAGAGAAGGCGGCAGAACTGAACACAGGGGAGGGTCCTGAGCAGAGTGACTCCCCTGTAGCCCCTTCCCTCCCAGGAAGGGGGCCCTTATCAATCAACCCCACACAAAGATGCTCCTTGGGAGTGCTGCATGAGGTCCCTGCCACAATTTTAAGTCAACAATCAAGTCTAGGTCTGGATGTAGTGACCAGCTTGGCCCCAAACCAGCCCTTTCCGTGTGTTCCATGGGTTTTAGCATAGTGCTGAGTCAGCAAGTGTGACAAGGCCAGCTCAGGGCCACATCCTCCCAGAGCTGCTCAAGCCTCAGGCCACAAGGGGGGGCTGTCCTTCCCACCGCAGATGACATCCATGTAGCCTCTTCTCTCAACCTGGGACTCGTGTCCACAGGGACATTATCAGCACTTGGTGCACACTGAGAGGCACTGATGGGAAGGAAGGCACCCCTCAATCCTATGTCAGGCTCAGAAGCACCTTTACAGGATTCCCTATGATGGGGGGACATAATGTGCCCCCACAGGATCTGCACAGTCAAGTGGGCTCTGTAGACTGGTGGGAATAGGTGAGTGTGCAGACAGAGGCTATGGGGGCTCACTTGGCCGAGGTGACGATGTGTGGAATGAGCCTGTGGTAAGAGAGAGAAGGAGGCTGAGACAAGAAGCTCCCTCTGGCTCAACTAGACACAGAGGTCGAAGAGCCTGGAGGTTCTTGCGCTGAACTGATTCTCTTCACATGAGGAAGGACACGTAGATGCCCAGACCCACTCTCCAGCCCTCAGTCCTGCAGGGAGCTGTCCCCTGCATCTCTGTATGTTGCCCATACCCCTGGGGCCTGAGGCTGGCTTCTCAGAGACACCAAGGCCACAGCTATGCCGAGGACAGGCACAAGAGCCACTACTTCAACACCAGGGAGCAACTCACAGCAACCCTGAGCTCACAGAGGGCACAAGACCCCAAATATTCACCCCCTCACCTTGACCCTGAAGTTGGGTGCACATTCCACAAGATTCCCTGTGAAGTCACGCCCAGTGCCCTCTGCCCACCTCCCACAGGAGCCCAGCCTTCCCTACCAACCTGCCATCCCAGCACCTGCACCCCATCCCCACTGCCCTTCACGGCTCTCTTGAGCGGGCTGTTTGCACTGAGTCCCTTCCCTTTCTCTGTGGCTCTGAGCACTAGAGCAAGGCAACTTGATGGGCAGAGTTGCTTCACCACCCAGACCCAAAGGTGCTGTCCCTGAGAAGGAGCCCCAGGTCAAGCTGAGTGTGGAGGAGGGATGGGAGCATCTGTGGATACAGGAGAGCCTGATACTCTTTGCCCTGAGAGGCTGGACCCTGTGGTGAAGGCTGGTGCCCAGTGGCCTCCAAACCAAAAATGGGCACTGCTTATAGCTTGGGGACCTAAGGGGCAGAAGCCTGCAGTAAACTCCAGAACGTCTAAGTCATCTAAAGAGACTCTAGTGGAGGCTCTAGAGGGACAAAAGTGTTTTTCCTCATATACTCTGCCCCCAGAATGGGCCCAATGGTCTTTGATACCCACCTGAGCAGATGACACCAGCATCCTCACTATGTCCACAGTTATGGGACAGCCAGCCACTGTGGCGGCAGCTCCACAGGTAGGACTCATGCCCTGAGCAGGCCACATCATCCAGCACAATCGGCCCTGAGCCCTGGCCGAACCAGGCACTTCCTGGAGCTGATGTGGCCCAACCGCAACCCAGCTGCCTGCAGACCACATTGGCATCGTTGGTATCCCAACTGTCGTCACACACGGTGCCCCAGGAGCCTTGGTACAGGACCTCCACCCGGCCCTGACAGCGGTCAACTCCATTCACCAGCCTTAGGGCCAAGGGGGAACCAGATCCTACAAGAGATATGGTTATTTCTCATTTGTTTCAGGGTAGATGCTAAAGGTTCTACAATGCGAGTGTGGCCACCACCCCTTCCTTGCGGCCAAGCTCTCTCACTCCTGGTTGGAAGTTGATCTCTTTCCCTTCCTGGACAAGAGCCTCCCTGGCCTGTTAGGGGTATATCCTTGATGACTCTCTCTGTCCCCCCTCATTCGGAGGCCCACATCAACTCCAGGTTTGAATGGAGCCACTGTCCCAAGAATGGCCTCTCCTGTGCCTACCACTGTGCTCTTTACCGAGATTGCCCAGAGAGCAGCCAGTACCCCCTCCTCTCACCTTGCAGCCCATGGCCTCAGAGCACAGGTGGCAGGTCAGCCTGGAGGCCCAGGGACCACAACAGCTTGGGGTAAGCACTGGGAACAGAATCCCCTGAAATAGAACACTGGTCCCACCAATACATGCCTCAAGACCTTTGAGGGAGGCCATGCTATACTGACCCTCCTAAGTCCCAACTTTCTCCCTACTCAACAGTATCCTCAAGCACACGGAGTTCTATGACTGAGATGGACAGTTTGGCAGAATGTACATTCTGCCCCGTGCTCATTTCTACAGGCAGAGTTAATTCTGTAGGAGGCAGGAAAGAGAGACCTTGAATGGGGAGCCTGCCACAAAAGGTGCTCCTACCCCAGGCCCACACCAGGCTGCACGGCCTGCTTGCTTTGGCCTGAACTGTGACCCTTGGCAGGAGCAGGGGAGCTCTCCTCAGTGAGTTCTGTGATGAAGACAGTTGGGGGAGCATCTCACAGATGTCACTCCAGGCTCAGAGGCTGTGACCTGTTCTGTATTCACCTCTTTGTGCCTCCTTCAGTAGCCCTGCTTAGAGCTCTAAGCTGGAGACAGTCTGTGAGTGGTTAGCAAACTGTGGTCCCCAGAGGAGACCTCAGTCTTAGAGGTCAACTTCATTACAGAGATTGGTCTGCGTGACTTCTCTGCAACTTCTGAAGGGGCCCCACCGTAGTCACTGGACAGTTCCCTCTGATGAAAGCCAAGTGGGAGAGTCCCTACAGGAGTCACCTTCCTTCTCCCTTAGCAACATTAGCAGGTGGCTGTAGGGGAACAGAATTCCACCTGCTGGCATGATTTGGTTTTGTTCCCATAGTGTTTTAAAAATTGAACCTGATGTGCCAGGCTCATCTTTTCTATGCATTTACTTTTCTTTTATCTCTAAACGTCTTTCAGCTTGAGACCCCTGCAGCTGGCCAAGCTCATCATGCCTCTCCACCTGCCTTGCTCCTCACCGCCACCTGGGCACACATTTTCACAGTCTATAAATTAAAGATCAGGAGCCCAAGCTCAGAGGAGTCACGAGATGTCTGAGGTCTTAAGCCTCTGAAATCTATACTTCAAATACAGAACTAAAACATGACCTCAGACACTCAGGCATCCTAGTTATAATAAATCATAAGTTCACTATAAATTATCAACCCCATACAATACCTTCCTAATATGGAAATACAACCAGTTTATGAAAACAAAATTTCCTTTTGAAGATTTAAAGTGTATTGCTCTGTTTCACAGTGGGCAGAAACACAATCACATTGAACAGCCTGGGGGCAAAATCGTGAATGCACATGTGTGCAGCCATTAGGATGGTAGATATGAAACAGTTAAATGGGAAGGGCTCAGAGCCATCTGACAGGGCTGCAGAGGACAGAATGTGGCCTGTGTGTATTTGCTAGAACAGAAACCAATCCTATCCCATCTCACCCAACCAGGATGCTACTTGTCCCACCAAAAAGGAGTTAAAAACATCTCCCTTCCTCCTAGCAGGGCAAAGAAGTCAGGACTCAGCCCTCAGAGCAGTGCTCAAGCCATTCAAATGAGACTCCAGCAGCATCTGTGGCAGCTCCCACCAGCAACAGCATCCAGGCCTGGGACCGTGAGGAAGCAGGCGGGAGTGCTACAGGAAAGCCACACACACATGGGTGCACACACATGCAGGTGCTTAGCAAAGCAGGCAGGGGCGTGGAATGCCCTGTGTGAGACAGACCTGCAGAAACAGGAGGAAAAGCCTTTTGGGAGAAGAGAAATCCCAAGTCCTTTGGCAGTGACACTCACCAGCTCTTTATCCAAAAGGGTATGAAAGTTTACACTGGCCCTTTTATAGGTCAATGCATTAAACCATTTAACTACAAATGAAAGCTCTGATTTCTCAGCCCAGAGTGCAGCGTCTGTTTGGCTCAGCACACTCTTTGGCTGTCTGCATTAATGTCATGCTATAGAACTCCAGTCTTTGTCACAGCTGGTCACCTGGACAATCCTGATGCTAACCTGCCACTGGTACCCAGATGTTTAAAACCAGATACAGTAGTCCCTGCGTATCCACACTTGTGTTTTCCACAGTTTCAGTTACCCACAGTAATCTGAATACAGATTAAATGGAAAATTCTAGAAGTAAAAAAATTTGTTAGTTTTACATTGCATACTGTCTGAGCAGCATGAAGAAATCTCATGACATCCCAGTCTGTCTAGCTTGAGATAAGAACCATCCTTTTGCCCACCATATCCACATGGTGACCCACCTTGCTAGGCACTTAGCAGCCTCCTGGGTCATCAGATCACAGTAACTAAGTGCTTGGGCTCAAGTCACCACCCCAAAGCACAAGCTACATTGGCATAATGTTACAATTGCTCTATTTTATTATTAGTTATTATTGTTAATCTCTTATTATGCCTAATTTGTAAACTAAACTTTATCATTAGGCATTTATGCATAGGAGAAAAATGTATATATAGGATTTGGTATGATCTATGGTTTCAGGCATCCACTGGGAGTCTAGAAACATGTACCCCCAGATAAAGAGGGCAAGGCTTTTACCCAAGCTCTTGATTCCCTAGGAATGTGCCTCTGCACAGTGGGGGTGGAGTGGCTACCAGAATCACTTTTAGCTCAAAAAATGTGTCTCATTCAAATCCCAAACTGAATAAGACTAGATGGTCAGCAAGTCCTATAGGCTTCAGGATTTGTTGATGTTCTAACAAATCTTTCTTCCAAGAAATGCCCTTTGGGGAGAGGAAGGGAACACAGTTCTGCTCCTTAGGTAAGAGCTCAAATAGTCTCCGTTCTTCTCTCCCTAGACCTCACTTCATAGAATGTCCACGAAAGAAACAGTGCTTCTCTCTTTCTGTAAAGACTTGATTCTATCAAACCAAGAAAGAGAGAGAATGATAAATAGCCAATTTGAGGATGAAAATGCACCTGCCAGATGTGTAAGAACATGGTGCTAAAGATATGAACCTAAAGTATTTCAATGTAAATTTTAAAACACCAAAGTGAGATGGACACAGACATGGGAGTCCTCATGGAAAGGTATTAGACCATAAAACTCCCTTTCAGCACATGTGGAATCAAGATGCCGGCTGGATTTTGAATATCTACAAAAGAGGTTTTCCCTGCTTCCCCCATGATCCCTGCATCCTAGACGATGAATTTGGCAGGCACAGAGCACAGAGCCGAGTGCCCATCCTTGACAAGCATGCTGCTGCCTATCTGGTTCCGGAGACGGCCAGGTCTAAGGGTAGCATGAACAAATGGCGCTTACCAGAGATCACAGTCGTTGGGTGCTGCCAACCTGCAGGGGAAACCAAGCAATGTTAGGAAGGAGATAGAGGAGGCCTGGCACCAGTGGTGGGCCAGGAACTGATGCCAGCTGACATTCTAAGGCACCCTGTCTAAGGGATGGCTGAAGGCTGTGAATACACAGCTGTCTCACTCCTGTCAATACCAGCAGAGAGATGGTATCACTTTGTGTGCTTCTTGAAATAAGCAGAAAATACCCACACTGTGCCCTGCCAGTCCCTAGAGTGGTCAGATCACCAAAGACTAGTCATGAGTCTCCCACTTCCACCCTCCATGGAAAAGCATCACTCGGCCACCCATTCCCCACCCCCAAGGGCATGAAGATTTCTCTTCTCCCTTCACTCAAGACCTCCAAACTTTGCATCTTGGATGAGAATAGCCAAGCAACAGGACTGCCTCCCTCTCCCAGCAGCTCTGAGTGCCTTGGGGAGACACATTTATGGGCCTGGTAAGCAAAGGCTGTCAGGTGCCTGGAACTTATCTGTGTGTTGGAAACTCAGCTTGTATCATTAACGCATTCCAGGATCATCAGGGGAAAATGTTACTAAGAAAAGTCTTATCTTATTATCTGTGGTTCTGCAAACCTACCAAAAAAGATGCAATTTGGCCAGAAGGGATGAGGGATGGGCCAGTTAAAATGCTACCAACTTACCTGTGATTGCTGGCAATGTGGCCTCAGTACCTGAGGGAAAGAGGACATAACATTAGACCTGGGCATACCCGCAAGCAGCTCTCATAAATGGACCTAAAGGGTGAACAAGCTCAGAGGGGAGGAGGGAAAATGACAGGTGCAACAATGACCTCCTGAGGGTCAGACTGTGATGAAGGCACCTCCTGAAGCCATAGGGCAGAGGTAAGTGGCCCAGAGTTTCCTTTGGGGGATTAAGCCTGAGTGTGGACCTCAGTAGCTGAGCCTCCCAACACTCATCTGTAGGCATCATCTGTCTAAGGGCAGCAGAGCAACTGGCAGAACTCATGCCCAGAACTCATGAGTAGCACACACTGTCCAGGACAATTGGCCCTGAGCTCTGGCCCAACTGGGCATTTCCTGGGGCCAAAGTGGCTCAGCCACATCTCAAGACCACATTGGCATGATTGGCATCCCAGTGGTCATCACACATAGTGCTCCTATGGGCACTAGTGTCAGTATGGGTCCTGACACTAGTCACCTCCATTCACCAGCCCCAGGGCCAAACTTGAATCAGGTCCTAGAGGAAGGCACAGCATTTCTCTTATATGTTCCTACTTAGAGACAAGATCTCAAGGCCTATAGAGCATTTAGAGCCTTCTTAGTGGGAAAAGATATCTGAGAGAATCTCTAACTGAGGTGACTCTCAACATATCTTGAGTTAGAGTGCTTCATGGGCAAAAGGATGGTGACTGCTCTGCCCAAACCCAAGCATTAGAGCTTCAAGTGGTAGGAAGTACTCCTCCCAGTTTGCATGCTGAGAGGGTCCTAGAGACCAGCCACATGATCCTTCTAGGAAGACAATGGAAGACTCCTAATTTCTTCAGAGGAGAACCCAGGATGCCACATGCCATAGAGGACCCCAGTGACACTGAAGCATCCTGGGAGTAGCTCTAATATACATTCAGGGCTCTAGGGTTTTCTTGGGACACATTTTGCACATGTTCCTGCTGGCCCTATAGCCAAGTCCTTAGGACCAAAATGTCTGGGGTCAGCCCAGAGTTGTGGAGAAGGGGGAGCTGGTGTTCTGGACTAGAGACTGATCCCCTGCTCTCTGTCCCCAGAGCACACAGGCTCTTGGAATCTCCAAATTCTGACTGACCCCTTCCCACAAAACCACAGGGTCATGGGCAATGAAGGAGGCTCCACTCCAGCTGACGTCTGGTTCAAAAGGTCACTTTGTACTCACAACACTCCCTTGCCCCGATCCCTGAAAGTTTTCCTAAATCAGAGTGAAAACCATGGATATACCTGGTATTGTGAGCTAAAGAAAGGAACTCAGATAAAATTTTTCATCATCTATTGCTGTGGTAGTCTCTGCATATAGTGATTCCAGAAGATGAAAAACAAACACAAATCTCAGTAATTTGAAAAACAAACACAAATCCCAGAAATAAAAAGTTAGGTCTCCTCTGAAAGTAAACCAGGATCTGCCCAGGAGTTGTCATTCATGGTCTGGACTTTGTCTTATTTCATGACTTTGGAAAAGTCAAGAAACCTGTCTAGCATTGAGTTCTTCAATTCCAACAGGCTTTGGGTGATGGGGGGATATCTCTGTATCATTCTATTGACCCTAATTCTGATTTGCCTACATGTGACCTTGGGAGGGATCCATGGGATGGATGCAAAAATAATGTTTCTCATTCTTACACCTCTAATTGATTTCTCTTATCTAATTGCATTGGCTCATATCTCCAGTACAATATTGAATAGCCATGAGGATGGAGGGCATATCTGACTTGTTTTTTTACTTTAGTGGAAATGTTTCCCCTTTAAGTAAAATACTAGCTTTAAATCTGTGTTAGCACTTGTTGAGGCTAACACAATTGGGTGCTTGTGCTCAGAGAGGGTATTATCTGACAGCTACTCTCACCCCACTGCAACCAGAGCATTCAGCTTCCATCTGAGTTATCCACTGGTGTCTACACAACATCTCTGGATCTAAATGGAGGTGACACCACCCCCACCACTGCATTGGAGTTTCTGATAGAAGCAGTTCTAGGTAAGTCCTATCTGCAGTCCTCGGTCACAGGCAGATCATCCACGTCCTCCACTGCCTTTCTCCCATCCCTGCATGGATGGCCAGTCACACCAAAAGGGCTTTTCAGGTCCAGCTTCTGGTCTTAATATATAACAGGTACCCCAGAAGAAACCAGGCAGGACAAACAGTGCAGAAAATGTTCTCCTCTTATAGCTGCTTCAAATAAGAAAAGGTGGGAATCTTGGGAAAGGACATGGCTAAGTCTGGATAAAGCCAATCTCATCCCCAGATCTAGTAACATCCATGTTCTTAACCATAGGGTAAGAGAAGGAGAAGGTAAAGCCAGGTGTCACTCCATGAGTCTGAGGAGCAAGAATGCCTAACACATGTGCCATCAGGGTTCCTGATGGGTCCATGCTATCCCTGGGCAGGCCAGGGCTCTCAGGTGGAGGCTGTCTTTGGTCTTGTCCAAAGGTCAAAGTTTCCCATGAGAAATGGGAAGTGACTCCCCTTCCTAAAGCCCAGGCTACCAGAATCTGAGGCCCTATTAACTGTACCTTTCAGCTCCCTCACTGGAGATACCCTAGGGGGAAGCATGGGACCCCTGACGCCCATAGGCTGCAGGGTTATGATTTCTCTGTGCTGAGGAGGAACCAGGCTGGCCTGATACAGGCTCAGGGAAAGGGCATGGGCAAGGATGCTGCCCCAGCATCTGGGCTACCTAAGCCGGTTAGCACATGCTTCTCCAGCCCTGCAGCCACATCCAGCCAGTGGTCAGTGGGGATTGATGAGGACCACAGGGCAAGCACTGAGCATGGGCAACAAGACCCCTAGAGAAAGGACACCAGGTGCCACCATGGAGCTCCTTGGAGATGTTTCTTCAAGTTGGTTCCTCCACAGTTGCAGGGGCATGATCCATGGAAGAGAAGCCTGCTCAGGCCTAAGGCCTTATTCAGAGGAGTCCCCTTGGCAGCTGAGTGCCCCTATGTCCTACACAATCTGAACCTCTTTTGGGTCAGAGATGAACCTGTGGGTGCAGTGGAGTAACAAGCCCACAGACATACTACAGACATCTGACATACCTTGTGCTGCAGTTACCGGCAGGTTCGCCTCCGTGGAAGACAGGGCAGCTGCAGAGTGGGGAAAGGAAGAGAGGAAGTGCCCACTCCAGGTCAGCCCGCTGCTCCTCTCAGCTCTGAAGCACAGACCCCAAAGGGCCCTCCCAGTGCTAAAATACCATCAGGTGCCCATCTGACACTGTGCCACCCGCCTACTGGATGGGTTGCCATGTACACATCCTTTGCTCCTGTTACCCTTCTCCTATCTCCTCTGCTGTCACAGTCTCTGCAAAACCTCACCCAGTTCATTAACAGCCCCATTCTTGTCATAATAATAGACTTCAAATGACATCTAGCCATTTCTATAGTTCAAACACAACCTCAAGTGGCAAATATTTGCTATCACTGAAATAGTCCTGAGAAGGTGGTCCCAACCAGGAAGAAAGGCAGTTCCCCAGATGCCAAAATAAACCTACTCCCAGAGTGGTTCCATGGAGGACACACTCCCAGGGGGAGGCCAGTCTCATGAGGTGGTGGGTCACAGTCCCATAACACAGCAAAGGTCCGAGGTTGCCCTATAAGTGGACAGTTTAACTAGAAACTTCTCTTTGGGGGACACACAATGGGTTGATATCCTTGGAAGTTTCTGTGTGGATTTAAGGAACCCTTGGTGTTTGCTCACGTCCCAGCACCAGGTGAGGGTGTTGGGAAACACAGTGTTAGGATTTGCTGGGTCCGGTCAGGGAAAATTTCCCTTTTCCATGGAGGGTATAAGTACCTTGTGCTTGTCACTTAATCCCCAATAAAGAGAACATGTTAGTTTCTTCTCCATTTGATTCTGGCATGCATTTAAACTTTAGGACCAGAGGTTTTGCCGTCCTTCTCCACCTTTAAAGGAGGTTAAACCACCAGAAAATATGTATTTGGTCACCCCAGGCCAGGGATGGCCATGCTTCTGCTTGTCAGAACTAGTCCTCTGAGTGACTCCAACAGCAGGGGGTGCTGAGACTAAAACCTGCTCCCCGACCTCCAGCCTCAGGACAACAGGCAGCCTCTTGACCTGTCTGAGCCTCCAATTATCTGTGAAAAGGGACAGTAATACCCAGCCACTAACATCACATAAGGTATGGCTGACAGCAGAACAGGCAAACTCAGAACACGTGCTGCGACATGACGCTGAGTCTGCGCCTGTCCCCAGAGCTGCACACGTGAGAGCGCCAGGTGACATCCACACTACCTGAGCACACGACACCAGCATCTTCCCTGTGGCCACATTCGTGGTTGTACCATCCACTGTGGGGACAGCGAGACAGGTAGGGCTCCCATCCGAAGCAGTCCACAGCACCCAAGAGGATGTTGCCCGAGCCCTGTCCAAAGTGGGCCCCGCCCAGGGCCGACACGGAATGGCCACAGCTGAGCTGCCGACAGACGACATCTGCGTCCCGGGTGTCCCAGCTGTCATCACACACGGTGCCCCAGTAGCCTTGGTACAGGACCTCCACTCGGCCCTGACACCGGTCACCTCCATTCACCAGCCTCAGTGGCAAACCTGCAGTAACACGGCAGAGAGCCCTTGTCTTGGGGCTCCCTGTCCCCTCGGCCTGCCTCGCTCTGCCCCGTCTTCTCCATCAGCTCCTCTCCCCGTGGGAGTTCACCTGTT